CCCCCCCCCCAAAAAAAAAAAAGAAACTAAAATTACACGTAGTATGGATTTTGTAGTGTACGTGATGTGGTATGGTAATATCAAAAATAAGCGAATGGCCGTATGAAGAATTCTCTCTCTCTCGGGTATAACACCGTACAGTCCGTTGGACCGCCTCTGTGGTCTAGTGGTCAGAGTTCCTGGCTACAGATCCAGAGGTCCGGGTTCGATTCCCGACGACACCCGCTATCCGGTAAAGTTTGCACCAACTTCGCCGACAAGCGGCGGTCGCTCGATCGGTATAGTTCGCTTGCGGACTAAAACCACGGAATTTGTTTTTTGTTATAATCCGTTGAAGGCCAACCGATGTTTCGGAAGCAAATGTTTTATTGCTGCCTGCTTCATGCTAGTATTTTGCTTGGCGTACACTTCGGCCCTGAAGGCGGAGGCAACATGTTCCTCCGAAACGTCGGTTGACTCTCAGCAGACTACACTGCGTTGTATGACTCTACATGATCACTGGTGTGAGAACCTAGCACAATGTTCGAAGCCAGCGAGGTTGAACCGGCTACCCAGTACGGAGCAGAACGTTCCGATCAAGTGATCCTTATTTCGTGATTTCCTCACACTTGGTTCAGATGTTCTTACAGGTCAAGCAACATAACTAACATAATGGAGCTGAGCCCTTCTTGAGAAGCCCCCAGTTGTGCAGCTACTCAAGCATTTCACAACATTTTATGGAACCCAAAGTTCGTTGAACCCTCCACTGGCCCCTATCCGGAGCCATATTAAAACAGTCCATACCACCGTATCCTATCGCTCTAAGATCCATTTTAATATTGTCCACCCACCTACGTCTTGGTCTTCCCAGTGGTCTCTTTCCTTCTGGCTTTCTCACCAATATCCTATTTGCATTCCTCTTGTCCCCCATTCGTGCTACATACCCTGCCCACCTCATCCTCCTTGACTTGATCATTCTGATTATACTTGGAGAAGAGCACAAGTTTGAAGCTCCTCATTATGCAGTTTTCTCCAACTTCCTGTCACTTCATTTCTCTTCGGTCCAAATATTCTCAACACCCTCAGTCTATGTTCCTTCCTTAATGTCAGAGACGAAGTTTCACATAAAAATATACTATAAAATTTATATTTAAAATTTCAAACTAGAAGTTCTGTTACGTCGCGTGCGAACTTAGCAGACAAATGTTATTATGCTGACATATGTTGGTTAAATAAAAGCAAGGTTCAACAGGCCACTCAAACGTACACTGTACCATAATAACAAGGACCTCGGGCAGAACTCATAAAGCCTGCTCTTCTATTTCGCAAACTTCAAGCCCAGCAACTCTTGAGATGACTGAGAAATGTTACTTCATAATTCAACAACAAAATACAAAAGCTGGTACCTCTTTCTAGTTCCGAGGCTGAGAAAGCGTGGGGCCCTTCACTCCTCTGTACGTCTTTATGGCGTGGTGATTAATTAAGCACAGGGACAACCTCAGCATCAGAGCACCATTAAGTTCGTGAGCAAGCGTGCTGGGCTTTTGCATTGATGATCCATACTGTAGATAAGCATGAAGCAGAACTGGCTTCTACGCAGTAACACTAAGAGCCGTTGCTAGTTGCTGCCTATGGACTTAGGGAACGAACAAGCTAATGGTGATTAGTGATTAGTGATTACAATGAAGTCTTCCCATGCGATCAACCGTATGAAAATGGTGTTCACCGTTTCAGAATCTATCTCTGCTTCCATCATCAGGGGTTGGTATGATGAGTGACATATTTTTCCGTTGATTTATCGTCACATCAGTACCTTATGTTGGAGGCAGAGGCAGTCAACAAAACGTTGGATGCCAGCTTAATTCCTGTATGCGGCTTGTCAGTTGAAGAGTCTACGTCACGGTGACACGTGTGCATGGCAGCCACTGTATCAGTATCTCTTCCTTATCACCGTTGGTGGTAACCATTAAATTTATACCGCGAAGAGGCCTATCTGCTGGGGTAAAATATCGTGTAGTCCGTTGAAAGTCAACCGACATTTCAGGGAACGCGTCACCTTCATCTTCAGGTTCGAAGAATAAGACCAATAAGCAGGAAGCAAGCAGAGCCTGGTGCCCCCCCCCCGCACACTTAGAACATTACTCTTCACAGATTCTGCAGTATCACACATAAGGACGCTCGGGTGCCTAGCCATAAAGTGAGGAAGAAAGTAAAGAGAATAAACATTATCAAAACCGTCCTGCACATACTCGTATTATAGGGGGCGTTGAGCGCAACTCCACTCATTCTACAATGAGGATCTTCGATAGAACGCCTAGTAGTTTCTTGAAAGTGCATGGCTTTTATGTGTACTTCAGGCTCACAATATGAAACCTGGCGTGACCCAAGTCTGTAGGTTATGTGTTCATGACCAACCTGTAGTTGTATACTCCATCCGTCATGGGAACAAGGGTAGGTAGTCATCGGTTAGTGACGTAGGAACTTTATGTCATCTTATGCAAAGTTAGTTGATTCTATTTTGAACATACAGTGTGATTCTAAATTATTGTCGGTGTTTCCGTGCCCTGAAGGTTTGAAACCGAAAATAACAAAATAAGATCGCTGACGGAATATGAAAGTGTAACTAAAAGAAACTCCGTGGTTTTAGTCCGCAGG